GGAGTAGAGTTAGGTTGTTTATTTGAAATGTTTCTATCTTTCTTAGGTAGGTCTGTATTGCTATAAACTTCCCTCTCAGGACTGCCTTTGCTGTGTCCCATAAGATTTGAGTTGTTGTGAGTTCATTTTCATTTGTTTCCAGAAACTTTTTTTATTTCTTTCTGAATCTCGTATTTGACCCATTCATTGTTTAATAGCATGTTATTCAATGTCCATGAGTTGAATGTTTTTGTTTTTTCCCCTTGAGGTTGGTTTCTAGTTTTAGTCTGTTGTGGTCAGAGAAAATGCTTGATATGATTTGAATTTTCTTGAATTTGTTGAGACCCTCTGTGTTTCCTGAACTTGGCATGACTTTTCCAATTCACCAAGTTAGAGATATTTTTTGTCATTATTTTTGCAAATGGGTTTTCTATCCCTTGCTCCATTTCTTCTTCTGATATTCCTATGATGCAAATGTTGTTACATTTCCTATTATCCTGAGTTCCCTTAAACTGTCCTCATTATTTTTGAATCTTTTTTGATTTGTTGCCCTACCTGGGTATTTCTTTCTAACTTGTCTTCCAGCTTGCTGATTCAGTATTCTGCTCCATCCAGCCTTCTTATAATCCCTTTAGTGTACTTTTAATCAGGTATCGTATTCTTCAGTTCTCTGGTTCTTGTTCATAGTTTCTGTGTTCTTTTTTATGCTGGTGTAGTTCCCACTCAGTTCTTTGTAGTTGTGTCTGAGTTCCTTGAACATCCTTATAACAACTTTTTTTGAATTCTAACTCTGAGAGGTTGCTTGCCCCAATTTCATTTAGCTCTTTTCCTGGGGATTCTTGCATTCCTCTTGATTGGGGGTTCTTTCTTTGTCTCCCCATATTAGGTGACTCTTTTTGTTTGTTTCTGCATCTCAGGATGCTCTGCTTTGCCTGCTTGTCTTCATGGGGTTGGCTTCTGTGGTAAGAGTTTTGCGGGACTCAGTGGTGCAGTCTCTTTGACCTCCTGATCTGGATGCTCTAGTGTTGCCCTTTATTCAGTTTGTGTGGCCTCTCTTGTTGTACTTGGGCTTTGCTTGTTGGTGGCTCATTTGTGGGTGGGTTCTTCCCTCCATCTGGCTGATTGGTAGTCACAACCCCCGCTGCATCTTGTATGCTGCTGTATAGGTGTTAGTTAGCAAAGCAATATTATCAGAAAACCAAACCCAGTCCAGCAAAAAAAAAATCCTAACACATCAGCAACATCAACAACAATTGGTCAAAGATTAATGAAGTTGGAGAGAGATTAAGAATATTATAGCATAGGAATAAGGGAATATGAGATGACAAAAGGAGGGGAAAATGATTTTGAGTGTGAAGAGGAGAAAAAATAAGAGTAGGTAATAGAAACCAGGCAAAGAAAGGGAGAGAATAAAATTTTTAACATAAGTAAAACAGGGAAAGGCAATGGCAAAAATGGAGTAAAAAAAAAAGGGAAGAGTATACTATGAGGTTTGAAGTAAAATTAAAAAGGCATTGAAACAATGGGGACAAAATTGTAGAAAAATCACAACAGGCTTGATAATGACAACAGCTGAGTGAAGATTAATAAAGGTGGAAAGGGAATAAGAATATTATACAAAAGAAAACAGTTGAATATGAGATGTCTATAGTAAAGAAAACTAATTTTGAGAGGATAGGAGAGGAAAACTAATAAGAGTAAGAAATAGATAGAACCCAGGGGTCTAAGATAGGGGGAAAAATAAAATAAAATTTCTAACTCATCTGATCAAAGGCAGGGGGACAGTATCCTATGGGAGTTGAAGTACAAACAGATAGTGAACAAATAGGAATAATGTTGGAGAAGAACAGCAATAACCATAATATCCTTGCCCAACTAGCCAAAATTTTTATAAAGGTAGAAAGGAAATAAGACTATATAGAAGGGTGGAGGGGGAGAAAATGTGAACTGACTTAAGGAAGGAAGAATGCTTTTGTGAGGATGGTTGGAAGAGAAATAGTAAGACTAAGGAATAGGAAGATGGCATAATGTGGGAGAAAAGATAGTTTACAACAACAATAAGAAAGATCAGGAACAGGCAAAATGGAATAAGACCTGGGAAGGGTGCTATGTGGGATTTGAAATAATAAAATGAAAAAATATATAATATGAATAAAAAAGAATAAAAAATAAAAGACCAAGAGTAGTGAGTTAGTTGGAATACAATTGAAGCAAAAGAAGAAATATTAAAAGACTATGTGAAATTAAAAAAGGAAGGAAAGAAAAAAGCGTGTAAGTTCTGAGGAAGAGTGAGGTGAAACTCATCTCAGCTGTTGGTGTTCACTTTTGTACTTCTTTCTGGATCTGGCTCTGTTTTTTTATCAGCTCAGTCTCCCAGGATGGGTCATCCAACTTCTGACATTGCCCGTGTCTCCTTCACCTGCCCTTAGAGGGAGCTTCTGTCTTGATTGAGAGGGTGGGTGTCTGTGTCTCCCCTGGGAGACACTGCTCATTCATCTGGAAATATTGTGGGTGCATTCCCCATGCCCCTACACCTCCCAGTTTATTTTCAGTAATGTATAGTTTCTGATTAAATAGCTCTCCGTTTCATCAGTGTGGGGTTGGGACAGGGAACAATCAATCTGTCTAAGAGTGTCAGCTGACTCCTGCTGGGTGTAGACTGCAGCTCTGTGTGTGAGCCATGGCTGGGCAGATCCCTGAATCTCCCTTGCTGCACCACTTTCTGAACTTACTGAATTGTTGGCCTCAGTGAAATAGGGCCCTAGGACCCATTGTATTTTGTCTCCCTGGAAGGAGTTCAAAATGGGTTGTTTTAGGCGTTCATCTTGTTGTCTTTCTCTTGTGGAAATGCCCCCTGTAAGAGGTGGGGGCTGGATTCAACCTTCCATTCCCAGAGGTTCTGCCAAGGAAGGGGTTCCAGTCTGGCCTCAAATAATGTTAGGTGCAGTTCCCAGCCCAGTGCCTTCACAGCACACAGGGGCTCACACTCTTCACTCTGCGCAACTGTGCCAGGCTGGCGCTGAGAAACCATCTTGCTTTGAACCCCTTTGATCAATCCACCCAGCTCTGTTGAGTGGGAGCAAATTGTGCCCACAGTCCTCCCTCCTTGTTGACAGGGCAGCTGCATGCTTGGGGTCCCTGCCTAGCATACCTCAGCTCCCCTTTTAATAAAGTCTCTCTGTGTGCTCCCACTACTCCACTTCTCCAGAAAGTCAAGAGTCTATTGCAGTCAAAGACAACTATGGCCCTCCTACACCAGATCCAGACAGTGTGTCTCACACTCTAGAACTCTCCTGGTTGTCATCCTCCACTGCAGCTAGTGTATGCCTCTAGCTGTGTGTGTGTATAGCATGGTTCTCCCTGGTGACTTTGAGTATCCAAGTAGCTCCCAGCCTGTCTGGGGATTCCCTGCCCTGGGAGGGGAAGGAACTGCTAGGCTATTATCTCTGGGCAGGTTTTCCACAGATGCAGGTGCCATGGATGCTGGCACTATGGCTGTTGGTGCCATGCCCAAGGACTTTCTCCATCCATCTATAAAACCTCCTTACCACCCGTTTTGAAGCATCTTTGGTGCTCTTTGGCCTCCAAACTTCATATCAGCTAAGGTTCCATTGACGGTCCACTTTATTTTTCGGAAGATCAGCTCAGTGTCCTAGTTGGGTGCAAGAGCAAGTGGGCTCAGCTCGCACCTACTTGGCTGCAATCTTCAAAATCTAGATGAAACTTTTCTTTCTGATGATTATTAATGGTTTGATTTTGATACATTAATTAATGAGAGAAAAGAGGATGCTGGTATTCTAAATCTCATGACCATTCAAATAGAACAGAAATAATTCTGAATAATAGCACAAACTGCTGTTCTGAAGTGCAGTTAGATTTTGAACAACACAGGTTAGACCTGCGTGGATTCACTTTATACAGGGATTTTTTTTCAATAAATACTGTAAATCTATTTTCTCTTTATAGTTTTAACATTTTCTTTTTTAGCTTACCTTGTTGTAAGAATACAGTATATAATACATGTAACATATAAAATATGTGTTACTTGACTATGTTATTAGTAGGCTTCCATCAACAGTAAGCTATTGGTAATTAAATTTGGGGTGGGGGTTGAAGGTTACACATGGATTTTTGACTGTGCATGCAACTTAGCACCCCTAACCCCACTTTTTTCAAGGGTCAGTTATATTGCCAGGAGACCTCTAGGGTAGGAAGAAAAGGTTTTTAAATTCTGCCCACTCCCTTTAACTTTGATTTGAGTATGACATTTTTCTGGAGCTGTTAAATTCCATGAGTCATACAAAAATGGTACAAGACAATCACTTTGGCTGTGCCAGTTATTTTCAGTACCAGGTGCTGATCTAACCTGTGGCCGGGCTCCTCCATCCTGCTCTACTCCAGCTTCCACTAAGGCCTCCTCCCCCTCACAACAGGCCTGCTCCTTCCAGTCTTGGCTCAAGAGCTGACAGAGAGCAGCTGTCGGGAAACCCTTCCTCCCCTGTTTTTCTAGGTTTAGAATTCTTAGCCTGCATTTCTTTTGTATGGCTGATTTGTGGGTCATGAGTTCTGTTAAGAGCTCTGATGGAGTTGGTAAGGGCCTTAGATGTCACCTGTCAAAGGAGGTTTTCCCCTTTGGGAGTGAGTGAAAAATACTGCTAAATGCCTCTGCCTTTGAAGGGAGCAGCATCATAGATTTGTAAACAAATGAATCTGGAGAGAACAGCACCTTGGTTCAAAGTGTGAGTCTGTGAACTTGGCCAAGTTCCTTAAACCTTAGTCTCTTAAATGTGTATAATATCCACCCTATTGAGTTGCTTCAAGGATTAACTAAACTGTTATAAGCAGGTTGCTTAGCATGGTATCTAGAAGAATTGTACACACTCTTTAACTGTTACCTATTATATATGAAGGGATAGTTATTTAAGACTTGGTAATTTACAGGGAACAGCAAGAACAATGAGTAGAATTGGACAGATGCAGAAAATGCAGTTATATTCTTTTTTTTGTTTGTTTCATTTCAGATGCACTGGAGAAGAATTTTTGATAAACCAGGGTGTCAACACCTCACTGTGGGGCCTGTGGCAGAACCATGTAGCCTTGGCATGTATGCTTGTCATCTTCCTTACAATTGCTTACCTAAAATTGTTGTTTCTTAAAAAATTTACATAAATTTCTTTCTAATTTATATGATTTATCTACTTATTAAAAAGAACATCTTGACTTATATGTTCATGAAGTTTTTTGTTCTTTTCATTTACCATCATATTATTGTTCAGCTAAAATTATTTCCAATAGAAACCATCACAGAAATCAAAAGGAATTGAATTATACATGAAAAGCCCAAGTTATTATCTAGTGATAGTGTGTAACACTTATTAGTTCAAGTAGTCAGTAACCACAGAGAAGAAATCTAGTTTAATTAGTTGACCTAAAAAAATGGAATTCTAGAATCTCGTGACAAGCCACTACCTGTTAGCAGTTTCCTCATCTGTAAACTGCATAGGTGTGCTAGTGCCCTCCAGCTTCAATGTGATAGGAAGCTATGATCTGGCATTATTTAATACATAAGATAACGAATATTGATTTTTATAGTGGAAGTATGAAATCTAGATTATGTTGGAAAAACCCAGTGTCATTTGTAGGGTAAAAGAGCCATTATGATGGACAAAGCTCTGACAAGCCTTGTAGGGTCAGTAGAACTTACTGAGGTTTCTCTGCAGTGGAATCAGAATGTCTCAGGGGTCTTGGCTGGGCCTTTGGTCTGTAGCTGCAGGGAGCCAGGACCTGGTGACTGACCTTTCCTGGGGTTGTTTAGTGTTTACGTGCATGAGATCACCTGGGGCCTTTGCTCAAATACAGATGTCTGTGCCCTGTGAGCCCTGATGCATCAGTATCTCCAGGGCTCTCCATAAAGAACAGTCCATGCCAGGGTTTGGCAATTTCAAGAACTTCCCAGCTCTGAAAATCTTAGACTTGTGATGTAGTAACTGTTACAAGTGGTCCTATCCAGGTTTTCTTCTTCCCTTATATGCATCTCATTTATTCACACATTTTCCTCTTCATTCTAACCTTTACCAGTAATAGGGAAGAGCCTTTTAACTTCTTTTTAATTGGAGGGTTATGTAGGGGAAGGTACAGTTCAGACAGTTGTCATAAAAGTAACACCGCATGCACCCACCAGTCCTGGCCATGAAGTAGACATTACAGCACAGGGAAGCCCCTCACGCCTCTCTCCCCATCACTACTTCCCCACTTCTCTCTGGGATGTTGTATCTCAGATACTCCCCTCTATTGTATGTCAGGCCATCACTGCAGCTCAGTTTTGTGTCCTGTGTGCATAGGTGTATCCTTAGTGAAGTTGCCCCTCCATCTTGTAATGAACTCTTATTTGGGAATATATTGAGATTTATAGAAAAGTTACACAGACAGTGTGGGAAGTTCCCATATGTGCTTTGCCAAGTTTCTCCTAATGTTAGCATTTTATATACAACGATACATGTCAAAACTGAGAAATTAACACTGGTGCATTATTGTTAATTAAATCATGGACTTTACTCAGATTTCACCACTCTACTAATAATACTCTTTTATTGTTCTAGGATCCAGTTCAGGAGATTACATTGTACCTAATCCCTATTTTTAAAAGTAAATACTTTTAAGAATTATAGGAATTAAGTAAGCTGAGGTTCACCAGAGTGAATACACCAGAGTGGAGACATCAGTGACTGGTTATTTTGGAGAATCATTTAGCATCAGCATGTGCCCTCATCAGTCAAGTGTTACAGGAACATATATATTTTATACATATATATGTATACGTATACATATAAATACATCAATATATTCCTGCCCATATATATGTATGTGTGTATAAATAATTCCCTGTACATATATATATATATGTGTGTGTGTGTGTGTATATATGTATATATATATAAAACAAAATTTTTATTTATTGATTTGAGAGAGGGAGGAAGGGGAGACTGATTTGTTGTTCCACTTATTTATTCATTCACTGGTTGCTTCTTGTGTATGTCCTCAACCAGAGATCAAACCTGCCAACCATGGCATATTGACATGACACTCCAGTCACCTGTGCAACATGGCCAAGGACATGGCATTATATTTTTATCTTTGGACATTAAGAAGCATTTTTTTCATTTTTTATGATATTTAATTTAAGCATCACGTTGTAACATTATCACACTCTCTTTTGACCTGATTGTCAACACCAGGGTTAATCTTTTTTTCAGTTCTTGGTAGTTCTTTCTTTTTACATAACCCAGGTTTATCCCTGGTTCTCTGTATGCACTGTTCCCAACACAGGAAGAAATATATTACACAGAGAGAAAAGAGAGAGAGGATATATATATGTCTATACCTCACACACAAAATATCCTTAAGAAACAAAACTGCCAAAAATATTAATAGTACCCTACTTTTAATATTAGTGAGAACTTAAATATATCCTATTTATTCTTCCTTTCTATTGCAATTATCTTTTTATATAATTCTGGTTTTATTATTATGTTAAGAAACACCTACACAAAATTTTCTATCTTAACCATTTTTAGGTTAAGGAACATTTCTAAAAGTATAAGTAAAAGCATAAGTTGAATAATGTAGACAGAAAAATATTAGTTTATAAAAATTTATTTCATGATATGTTTATTTTCTTTTGAATTTTGTTTCTCTTGGATGTCAGAAGAACTAATTTCTAATGGAGAAATTATATTAATTACTTTGGTTTATAATGATTAAAAAACACCTCAGGAATAAATGAATGTTTGCCACTACTTGTACTTTTTCTGCTGCTCTTCGGGGACTTTCAAAGAAGGGTGCAGGAAGTCAGTCCATTGAGGTTTCTTGGAAGGTTGAATGAGGCAGTAAGAAAGGGAAGGACAACTCTGGAGGTTGAAGAGCAAGTGGACATGCTCATCTATTTTCCCATCTTGGAAGACACCCTTCATGGTGTTTAGATTTGAATTTAAACCCTCAATACCATCTACATATATCTGTGAAGTAGCAGTACTCCTGTAGAATCATTCTTTCACCATTGAACAGCATATCTGGTGCTCTAAAGCAGGTGGCAAAGCACTGCCAAACTATGTCTCCAAGTGAGGGTGTGGCCTCTTAGTTTGGCCTCCTTTGTTTGCAAAACAGCAAAACCTGACGCCTCATCTCCATAATCAAGGCCTTGGGGACTTCCAGTCAAGATGGCCACATAGATAAATGCTGTACTCAGAACCTTCCACAACTACATCAAAATTACAACTAAACTACACAACAACTAATACCCAGAACCACCTTAAATCTAGTTGATCAGAACTAAGTTAGCTGATATACAACTAAGCATATAAAGAAGAAGCCACACAGAAACTGGTAGGAGGGTCAGAGACATGAAATGGGCTGGTCCCACCCCTATATGTGGCAAATAAAAAAATGGGAAGGATTTCTTGGCTGTAGGTGTCTCCCTGGGGAATCCAGGTTCCCAGCCCCATACCAGAGCTGCAGCCCAGGGTACCAGTGCTAAATGGAGATGTTTCTCTAACTTCTAGGTGTAAAATATCAGTGGAGATTGTGACTGAGTGAGACAAAGGGCTTTTGCAGTTCCAGGCCATTTCTTTTAAAGGGCCTACACAGACTTGGACTCATTGCCTCTGAGTTCCAGTGCTTGGACAGCAGCTTAAAGTGCACCAGGGGCACGTGGGGAGGATTGGGATTGTCTGGCATCAAGAGGAGAGCTGGAGGGGCAGCTTTCTTTCAGAAAGAAGTGCTGGCAGAATCCATTATTCCTTTTCTGAGCTCTTCCCCCACAGAGTCAATAGGCAGGCACCGTATCTGAGACTCCATTTATTTACCTGGCTAACACTGTTTGCCCAGCCTTGATGATTCCCTGAGGCCCTGTACCACCCAATTTGTGGGGCACCCAAGCCCTTTCCAGTGACTTTTTCTTACTACCAGCCTGTCTTGGCACATGCTTCAGACTTTCCTAAAATCTTTCAAGCAAGCAGCATCTGGCCCTAACCCTAATCCTTCCACTTACTAAGTGACCCCAGCCTTTGTTTGCAGCTTTGTCTTTCCTGGGCACCTCTAAGCCTAGCACAAGTAACAGCCATCTGAAGACTGATTTGTAGCTCATGCTGTGTGGTCCTAGGCAGGGTACAGGTGATGAGTGATCTTGGCCTACACTTCTCAGGAGGCCGCAAAGCCAGTACACCCAGAGGACAGCTTTAGAGCAGGCTGAAGTACTGCCCAATCACCTACACACGTAACATACTCCAGAGGTGGACTTGAGAATTTCATGAGCCCTGCATAAGTAAATTCTACTCTGAAGGGTGGTCCCCTGCACAGCAGATTCTCCAGGGTGACTGCAGTCCTTGAAGTTGATCAGCCTGGGGGTAAATTCCTCCTATTGATGTGCCAATATCAATCAAGGCTCAAGTACAATAGGAAGGTACACACAGCCCATACGGAGAGTTGCACCTGAAGTGCCCAGATCAGATGACTTTGAAGGCTGTGCCACTGGACCCTACAGGACACCTACTACATATTCCTCCACTCTACCAGTCCTGGGAGATATAATAGCTCTATCAGATACATGGAAGAAACAAACACAGAGAGGCAGCCAAAATGAGGAAACAAAGCAATATATCCCAAATGAAACAGAACAAAACTCCAGAAAAAGAATTAAACAAAATGGAGATATGCAATCTACCAGATTTGTGGTTCAAAACACTTGTTATATGGATACTCAATGAACTTAGGAGAAGTAGAGGAACTTAGTGAGAACTTCAACAAAGAGATGGGAAACAAAAATGAGGATAGAGAACACAAAAGAGGACCAGTCAGAGATGAAAAATACATTAACTGAAATGAAGAATACATTACAGGGAATCATTAGTACAGCAGATGAAACAAAAGATCAAATAAGCAATCTGTAAGACATCGAAGCAGAAAACACCCAATCAGAACAGCAAAAAGAAAAAATAATCCAAATAATGAGCCTCTGGGATAGCTTTAAGTGTGCCAACATTTGCATCACGGGGGTATGAAAGGAGGAGAGAGCAAGAAATTGAAAGCATATTTGAAAAAATGATGGAAAATTTCCTTAACCTGGTGAAGGAAATAGACATACGTGTCAAAGAATCATAAACAGTCTCAAACAAGATGAACCCAAAGACACCCACACCAAGAAAGACACATTGTAATTAAAATGCAAAAGG